GGATTGATAGGGCGTTAGTTTCTCACTCCCTGCTAGGGTGTGTAGCAGAGGTGAAGCATAGTATGGTACCCTATGGCCTGACAGACCACTGGTTTGCGGTGAAGGTGACGCTCAAGGCGGCGGCCCTGGCTTGTGGAGGCTCCAGACGCCTCGGCCTGGGGGAGAAGGGGTCAAGAACATCATCTCAGCGGTGGTGACGTCGCACGGGAGCAGCTTGGACCAAAGCCTGGAGAGGCTTGTGGTGAACCTGCGAGCATGCATGCGGGCTCACGTAGTAGAAGAAAGGAAGAGGGTGAGAGCGACTTTGTTACATCTGGAGCAAAAAGTGGAAGAGCTGCGGTGGAAAGTGATGGCGGATGCCAGATCGCAAGCCCTATACGAGGAGCTGATCAAAGCCGAAGCAGCACTCAAGCTTTATCAGGACTGCAACAAGGAGCGGCTGCAGGTCATGACGGGGTTGCTGATGGAATTGGCGAGCGAGACCCCTTCGGGTTTCCTGTCGGGGCTGGTCAAATCAAGAAAGGCAAAGACGGAGTTTCTGGAGGTAGTTTTCAAGGGGGTGCAGAGGAAAGGGGCGAAGGATGTGTTACAGGCGGCTTCAGAGCACTTCAGAGAAGCATGCGCGGAGTCACCGTCAAATCATAACATAGTGCCGTGGCCAATAGACGAGGAAAGGAGACTGCAGGAGAAGGATCAACTGCAACTTGACGCGGAGTGGTCGGAGCAAGAGGTGAAGGCAGCGCTCAAAGGCTTACCAGCGGGGAAGGCTCCGGGGCAGGACGGCCTACCGAAGGATTTTTTTGAGCAGAATTGGGAGTTGCTCGGCCCGGAGGTGATGAAGGAGGTTAAAGGCTTTGAGTCGACGGGTGTACTCTCGGAGGCTTTCACGACTGCGGTTACCATCCTGCTGCACAAAAAAGGAGATAGATGTGATTTGGGCAATTACAGGCCGATCACCTTACTGAGCTTTTTCTACAAACTGCTGGCGAAAGTGATGGCGAACAGAATCAAGCAGGTCTTACCACGGGTGATCTCGGACAAACAGTTTGGCTTTCTTCCGGGGAGGAGCCTTGCTGACGCGGTCTCGCTGGTAGCAGATGTAATTGACGCAGCGGAGGCGGAGGATGAAGATTGGCTACTGCTGCTGGTGGACTTTCAGAAAGCCTACGATTCCGTGTCACGTGATTACCTGTTCACAACGCTGCGCAACATGGGCTTTCCGGAGAAGTTTGTAAGATGGGTGAGAGGTTTGCACGATGGTGCAGCAACCAGGATGCTGCTGAACGGTTGTGTAGGAGATCGGGTGGCGATGGACAAGGGAGTACGGCAAGGCTGTCCACTCGCCCCTTATCTCTTCCTTTGTGCGGTGGAGCCGCTCTGCCAAGAGATAGGGAGGAGAAATCTGGGAGTTCGGAAGCGGGGGGTGAAGGGGGAGCTAGCCTATATTGGGTACGCCGATGATACAACTCTTGTCCTGAGAGGGAAGGAACAAGTGGCTACAGCGGGTAGGCTGCTCGACGAATTTGCTGAGATTTCGGGGCTGAGGGTGAACAGCAGCAAAACGACACTGATGCCGCTGGGGAAGAACAGGAGGAGACTGCAGCCGATAGAGTCGCGTTTCACATGGGCTAACAAAGGAAAGTCGGAGCGTTTACTCGGAATCTGGATCACCTCTGGAGGGTCGCCGGGACCTGCATGGGACAAGGCATTTGAAAAAGTCAGCGCGGTGCTGAGCTGCTGGGAATCAAAGCACCTCAAGACGTCGGCACGAGTCACAATCATCAACAGCTACGCGATGCCGATTTTGTTGTTCCAAGCACAGATTTACGCTCCGCCGCACGATATCTGGACCAAGGTGAAAAGGCTGTGCCACAACTTCATCTCGGGTGGAAGAGCGCTCCTTGATAGGCATTTCACCCTCTGGAGTTACGAGCTGTCGTGCAGGGGGCGGAAAGAAGGGGAGACTGGGAGTGATTGACCTGAAGCAGCGGATTGACAGCATTGTGACACAAAATCTTGGAAAAGTTCTGGCGGAACAGGTGCCACTACGGAACTGGCTATGGGAAAGGGCGGCTGGTTTCCCGCTCGGCTTGGCTACGATCTACGCCCACCCCTCAGTGCTAAAACATTGGCTGGGCGGCGGCACGAGGTGGAAGGCAGCGGTGAAGGCGCTGTGGGAATAAAAAATTGTGACCATGGGTGACCCTGCACACAGATGGGACGCGGAGGAGGAGCAGTTGCTTTTTAACCGCAAGATTTTCTTCAGTGGCAACTCGCCCTTCGGGAATCAGGCGGGCTCACACTGTCTGAAGGGCGTCCGTCTGGGGACCTGGTGGCCAAAGAGGCAAATGGTAGCAGGAGTCTCAAAAGCGAGGCGGTCCTGGAACGGGAGCTGGGAGGTGAGGCGCAGAGGAAGTGGGCTCTCAAGGCTTGGGAAGCGGCGCCCCAAGGATGGAGAAACTTGATACTTAACCAATTGATGGCGGAGGAGGTGTTCAGGGAAACAGCGCTTATCTGCTCACCGTCGTTCTGGCCGGGAAAGTTTCTTTACTATCAGCTGGAGCACGTGGAAGACGGCGTGTTATACGGGAGGAGGGTGGAAGTGGATAAAAAGGGTTTCGTGTCGTTGGTGACATACGCTGAGGTGGGGACGGTGGATTTCCTACGAGCTACGCCCATGGCGGTCATTGACGGGAGAGTTCGTGGCCCGCTAGGTACCCCAAGGACAAGGCTGCTACACTCCCCGATCTGTGAAAAGGGAGAACGGGCTGAGCTGAAACAGCTGAGGAAGGCGATGAAACCCTTGATGTCTCAACCCAAGCAGCAGCTGCGGTGGGAGGAGGAGACGGGGAAGAAAATCGATTGGGAGAAGGCCATCACGGTCCGGGACTCTTTGGCAACCCCATGCAGAGCGAGTGAGGTGGTGCTGAGGTTGCACAGCAATAACCTGCAAGTGGGGGAGAGGCTCCCTTTCTTGGGGGAGAGGGCGAAATGCGTGCACTGTGGAGGAGTGGAGTCGCAGGACCACTGTTTATTCAGCTGCCCGGCGATCCAGCAAGTGGTCGAGGTGATGAAGGGTGCGGTACAGTGCATTAACCCGGGCAGGGAAATGAAGTCACTCGGGGACATGCTGTTCCAGAAGAGTGGCACGTCGACCGGTTTTCCGAAAGCTGCAATCATTTCAATTACAGCACAGCAAGTGTGGTTGGAGAGGTGCAATGCGGTGTTCCGTGGCAGTCGTTTCCAGCCTAAGAGAGCACTGAGGCGCATGGCGGTTAGTTTTACGAGACACGTGAAGATATAAAGCAGAGTGCGGAAACGGTTGGCTGGCAGGGGTGGTTCGAAGAGGACAGGGGAGTGGAGTCACCTGAATGCTGATGAGGCAACGGCTTTGAACAGGCTGTATGAGAACGAAGCCTCGATGACGTGGAGAGCGGGCTTCAAGGCCATATGGGAAGATGGCGGTGTAGCTTTCCTGCCCCCGTAAGGAGGAAGGGGGGGGCTGGTTACCTGTAACCACCTGCATGCCCTCCTAGAATCAGTTACGACTGCGAGTGTATGTATGCGTGTAGTATACTTATGCTCACCAGAAAAAAAAAAAAAAAAAAGTACAATTCGTTCTTACACGAAAAAAGACCCTTCATGGTGGGGTTCCATGGGCTGCTGAACACGAGTGTGAGTACAGGCTTGGGGAATCAGAACCTGTGCAGTGCTGCACCGCCGAGGGTTGAAATTGAAATCAGAAACTGCCAGGGTTTTCTGACATGTCTGCAGATGTGACAGGCTGACGAAAATGAGCGGGATTGGCCAATGATCAGCTGGATTTCAACTTTCGCGACTTCCGCTACGCGAGCTGTGTGCGACATTCTGGAACGGTTAGACGAAAGGTGACCGTAATGTAATTGGTTCACGAAAAAGTCTTAATGGACTGCCTGATTCGGAGCTGTGCATTACGGTAAGACAGCTTTCAAAATGTTACAGAACGCTACAGCTTCGGTTTGTGACATGTCGAATGTCTAAAATCCATGGCTGGTTTCGCCGTTGATATTTCTGCAGTCATGTGCTGGTTGTGATCTGAACCATGGCTGACTGGCGAGTCTTTCAAACTCTTCCAAACTTTCAAACTCGCCATGTCCTGGTTATGGGTGTTTTATCCGACGACTGACATCTTCTCACACGGCTAACTGGCGAGTCTTTCAAACTTGACGCGGCTGAATGACTGGTGTCTCAAACGGCGATGAGTGATGAGACTGACTGCCATCATAGCATCTCCCGAGCTCGCGAAGTGAGAGTGTGACTATGCGTCTGAAGATCAAGGCAGTACAGTGTAGGCTCGCCGGAGTATACGTTTCCTAGTAAAGGCCTTTCTATGCTTCATGTCTGATGTCATTCAGCCCCTAGAATTGGTTTTCGCTTAGACGAAGACACCTGCATGACCGTTGGAAGGGTTGTAGCATGGCGAAAGGCGGGTCCGCATGCACAGCTCTTTCGCTCAGTGATGACGAATATGAAACGCTAAGTGACAGCGAAATAGAATGTGCCAGGGACAGTGGTAGCAGGAATAGCGACAGCTACAGCGATAGTAGTAGGAATAGCGACAGTCTTAGCGATAGTGGCGGGGATATCGACAGCGATGCCGATAGTAACGGCGATACGTACAATGACGTCGACAGGTCCTGGGAGGTGGACGAAAATGTCAATGACGTGCTAACGGACGGCAAAACGGAAAGTATGATGAAAACAAGAAGCTACTTCATGTCGCCAGAAGCTACTATCTCGAAAAGTCCGGGGAAGAAGGCTGCTGGCAATACGACTGATCACAAAGTCTCCGCTTTGCCGTCCAATCCGTACGCGAAGGCGTTATCCTTGATTCGAGGTACTTCCCCAACCCTACCCTGTACTCGTTTAATCAAATTGCCTTTTGTCTTGTACTTTTTAGATGATTTGAGCTACTATCTTCTTGTTTCTCATCCCATTTGCATGATTCACTCCCACCGCAGCGGGAGAGTGGAGCAAGCTGACTGGTGAGCTCTGCAAGGCCTATCTGCGCTACTACGGCCTGCGGCTGAGCGACTCGAAGGCGAATTTGATCAGTCGCATTCAGAGACATTACGAGTAAGCTCCTTGTTACGTCAGGGAACGACATCTCGCGGTGACTTTTGATTCGACTCAAAAGTCACCTTCATTACGAGTAAGCTCTTGGTTACGTCGGGGAAGGACATGTCGCTTTTCAGCTGTCGAACGCCCTCCTGTTCACCTGAACGGAGTAGAGTCTCCTGCTGCTTCAGGGATCCGCAATGCGTGGCGGAAATTGCTGTTCAAGCGTGAAAAGCTGATGAGAGCCTTTTTTTTTGTTCCATATGATTCACCTCTGTTCCATACTTGTAATTTTTTCTTCGTTTTTTTCTCACTCCAAGACAGACTCAAGGACGTCCAGTCAGCTAAGCGCCAGTACCCACGCGCGTCCTTCTTCATCAATTGTACAGGTAATCAATAAGACAGTGTATTTTTATGTGACTTAGATAGTTTGACCATATACGAGATAACCGCTTCATGACATGCTGAAACACGTTCCTGTTTTCACACCTATTGGCACCGTCTTACTAGGGTTTTCTGGAAGTTTGAACTCCCGTTTTTCTGTTTCAATGTAATGATTCCACAGGTGATGTTTGCAGAAACGACGTTGTTCTCTTCAATCAGCGAGTATCCACAGGGTCGGTCTCAGGGTCAGTCCCAAGGTCAGTCCCAAGGTCAGTCCCAAGGTCAGTTTAAAGGTCAGTCCCAAGGTCAGTTTAAAGGTCAGTCCCAAGGTCAGTTTAAAGGTCAGTCCCAAGGTCAGTTTAAAGGTCAGTCCCAAGGTCAGTCCCAAGGTCAGTTCAAAGGTCAGTCCGAAGGTCAGTCCCAAGGTCAGTTAAAAGGTCAGTCCCAAGGTGGGTTCAAAGGTCAGTCCCAAGGTCAGTTTAAAGGTCAGTCCCAAGGTCAGTTTAAAGGTCAGTCCCAAGGTCGGTTTAAAGGTCAGTCCCAAGGTCAGTTTAAAGGTCAGTCCCAAGGTCAGTTTAAAGGTCAGTCCCAAGGTCAGTTTATAGGTCAGTCCCAAGGTCAGTTCAAAGGTCAGTCCCAAGGTCAGTTTAAAGGTCAGTCCCAAGGTCAGTTTAAAGGTCAGTCCCAAGGTCAGTTCAAAGGTCACTTCAAAGGTCAGTTTAAAGGTCAGTCCCAAGGTCAGTTTAAAGGTCAGTCCCAAGGTCAGTTTAAAGGTCAGTCCCAAGGTCAGTCCCAAGATCACTTCAAAGGTCAGTCCCAAGGTCAGTCCCAAGGTCAGTTTAAAGGTCAGTCCCAAGGTCAGTCCCAAGGTCAGTTTAAAGGTCAGTCCCAAGGCCCGCCTGTTTTTCTGCATCGTAACATCTCATCTCATTGCCTCTGTTTTTCCCAAGCCAACGTCGCAGCAGCAGAATCAGCAGTAGCAGCAGTAGCAGCAGCAGCAGAATCAGCAGTAGCAGCAGAATCAGTGATGGTAGGCTCAGCAGCACCAGCACAATCAGCGGCGGCAGCAGCACCACCACCATCCACACCCCTCGTGCTAACCTTACCTTAGTGACAGCCACTCAAAGAACTGGCAATGGCAGCAAGCGATTGACCCTCCCTCCCTCACTCCCCTCCGTGCATCCATAGCAACCCTCCCACCCTCCCTCGTGCACTCATTCCCATTGTCCCTATCTCACACTTCCAACCACCATGCACACCCCTTCCTCTCACCTGAATGACTGCCAGTAGCAGCACTGGAAGGTGCAGCAGGCGATTGTGGGCCAAGGCTGGGGAAGGGAGGGGAGACAGGCAAGAAGAGGGGCTTTTGAGGCGCCTCAAAATCTGTAGCAGGCGACAGATGACTGGGCTGCATGTGACTGACTGGGCTGCATGTGACTGACTGGGCTGCATGTGACTGACTGGGCTGCATGTGACTGACTGGGCTGCATGTGACTGACTGGGCTGCATGTGACTGACTGGGCTGCATGTGACTGACTGGGCTGCATGTGACTGACTGGGCTGCATGTGACTGACTGGGCTGCATGTGACTGACTGGCTGGTAGAGCACGACTGCATATGACTGGCGGAGCACGAATGTTGGGATCGATTCTCAACCCGAAACACATGTGGGGGGGTCTGACAGTGAGTAGGAGGGAGGGAGGGAGGGAGGGAGGGAGGGAGGGAGGGGAGGAGTTTGGCTAGGAAAGCCAGCATACCAGCCCAGTGTTCCCAAGTGTGTGTTCCAAATGTATGTTGTTCACTCATACCCTACTCAAACCGATCTAAATAGTGACGCACCTTATTCAGCTGCATCCAAACCAACCTTTTGAACACGCCCTAAGCCAGTCACGCCTATCCATTCCTGCAGCGCGCAATCAAGACATATGTCCCCGAACGTACCGCTTCGAACCTGCACCCCCGAACCTGCACCTCCCAAAACTGCATTTCCAAACCTGCATCCCCGAACCTATCAGAGGTCCGGGTCCTGCAGCTGCACGGCGAGTATGCCAGCTGTCACGCCCACAGAGGCCGGGACCCGGCTCTTGATCTGCCATGCTGCCACCTGGCAGGACAAAACGTGAGGAGAAGCCCGAGGGTGGGGTAAGGGAAGAGTGGTTTGGGGGGTCTAGAATCTTGAGATGTTACAAACCTGGCAGGCCGAAAGGTGGGGGCAATTCCAAGGGTGGGGTGCAGGGAAGGGAAGGAACAAGGTTCAGGGCTTAGTGACCTGAGATGCGGCAGACTTGGCAGACCTAAAAGTGGGAACATTCTTAACACCTGTTTCTCTTTCTACCATAATTGCGACTAAAGAGTTCAAACCCCAAACCCCGTTCCCTCCCTGCGACCTAATGGTGGGGATATTCCCAAGGGTGGGATGCAATGCTATAACGGGTGTGATAATATCACGAGCATTACGGTACAGCTAGCCGGGGAATGCCGAAGGCTCACAAAATTGCGAGTGGCGGCAGCAAGTGGCCCCGCCAGACCCTCCTCTCCCTCACAGCCTGCGAATCCTCGCAGAAAACTCACGAGATGCGATAACGGATCATGGATTGCTACACTATACCGCGGATACGCTACACCGAATGCCTACCTGGTCGATTCCTAGTAACGCCTAACGCCTACGCCGCAGGTCCCAGAAGGCTCGCCCTCACCTCCTCCCATTCCTCCCAGGAAGCCCTCGAGACGCGAAAACGACTCGTTATCCGTTACAGCATTGCTCGGAGCAGTGCTTTGATAACGGAAACTAATAACGGCACGCCTAGTACCCGGGTCTATCCCGAAGGAGATGGATTTGCGAGTAGCGGCGGGCCCCAGCAGACTCGCCGGCACCGCCTCCCACTCCTCCCACTCCTCCCACTCCTCCCACTCCTCCCAGGAGGCCCATGGCACGTGTCGCAGCGCTAATCGTAGCCTGTAACGAGTACCGTGTTAACGAATGCTGTTGTTGTGTGACGATCAAGTGTAGGGGTGGCGAATGGGGGGAGCGGCGGAACCGCGTGGGGCGGCCTGAGGGAGGGAGGGAGGGAGGGAGGGAGGGAGGGAGAGAGGGAGGCAGGGAGGGAGGGAGCGAAGGAGGGAGGGAGGGAAGGAGAGATTGGGGGAGTTGAGGGGAAGAGAGTGGAAGGGATGGAGTGCTTGATGGGGGAGAATGGATGGCGAAGCACGGATGGGGGAAGGGGGTGTACGGATGAAAGTATTGTATCTCACAGCAGAGAATGACTGGCGGAGCACCAATGAGGGAGAGGACGCACCATGTGGGGTAGAATCCGAAGCGCCTTAAGAAAGTGATGTGAGGGAGGGAGAGATGGGGGGGGGAGAGGGGGGGGAGAGTAAAGCACCTCACTCAGCCGCATTCAAACAAGCTCTATGAACACGCCCTGAGCACAGCCCTTCCTACACCACCCATTCCAAACCTACGTACCACTCCGAACCTGCACCCCCGAACCTACCAGAGGTCCGGGTCCTGCAGCTGCACGGCGAGCATGCCAGCTGTCACGTCCACCTGACAGTTCAAAACCCGCCCCCCGATCTGCCATGCTGCCACCTGTCAGTTCAAAACGCAAGGGCGGAATGGAGGGGAACGGAATAGGGTTTGCGGTTTCGCAGGTCACAGAAGCATGAATACGTGAAAATGAGGAAACGAGGATACTGGCGGCTAGGAATTTACTCACCGTGATTCACCCCTCTCAGTACAATCATAATTCATTTCGGGGATAACGCATGTCTTCATATCAGGGATGGCAGTGGCTTGGATGCTACGGTGCTACCTACCGAAGCTGATCGACCCATCAAGCTTTCCCTCACAAGGCACAGTAACGAATCACGAATCACACTACAGCGGGGATATGGCGACACCTACTACCTACCCGGCCGGTCGATCCCGAAGGAGTTGCGAATGGCGGCGGGCCCAGCAGGTTCGGCCTCACCGCCTCTTTTTCCTCGTCCCCGCGATATAAAGAGTAATACAAACGTCATAGCTAGTACCCGGTCGATCCCGAAGGGAGATGGGCTCGCGGGTCGCGGCGGGGCCCAGCAGACTCGCACGCACCGCCTCCCACTCCTTCCGGAACGCACATGGCATGTGGCGCAGCGCTAGAAGCAATAATCTATCCTGTAACAAATGCGATTGTAAATAATGCTGTTTGAACGAATGTGTTGTTGTGTGACGAGCTGTAGGAATCGCAATACTATTATCGGCCTAGTGCTAGCCTGGCGGGTGGCCGCAGGAAATCAAATCGTGATTTTGCTAAGAATTTCGAAGTCGACAAAAAAAAAAAAAAAAAAAAAAAAAAAACAGGGATCTGGTAACATATGTTGCAACATGGTGCTCCTCATGGCATTTCAGCTATGTTGCTCCACGTGCTCATACTACTACACCTGATGATTCCTAAAGAGCTAGCGCACGAGCAAATGAGAGGTAGCGGGGGGTCTAGGCGGCTGACATTACATGGTCACAACGCAACGTGAGTTCAGTTTCGCCTAAAGCACCGTGCAAGTCATAGCAGCGATGCTTGACCTAATTACATATAGCCACCAATCTCTTCGCTCTCGACCTCGATATTCCTGATGCTGCGGTATTCGTCAGTTGCACAAATTTCCCAGCCTCGCCCAGAATGCCGAACCTTCCCTCTCCAAACCTTCCTGAGCTCCAAAACTCCTCTGGCTGCCCTCACCGCACGTAACCCAAATCAACCCAAGCCATATCAACCAACCATAGCAACCCAAACCATCTCAACTCAAACATAGCAGCACAAACCATAGCGAACTACCCAAACCATATCAACCCAACCATAGCAGCCCAATATCAAACCAAACGTAGCAACCCAACCCATAGCAACCAAACATAGCAAGCCAAACGTAGTAGCCCAACCCATAGCAACCCAGCCCGTTGCAACCCAACGTAGCAAACCAACCATAGCAATCCAAACCGTAGCAACCCAATTCATAGCAACCCAACCATAGCAAGCCAAGCGTAGCAGCCCAACCCATAGCAATCCAAACCATAGCAACCCAAGCGTAGCACTAACCATCGCAATCCAAACCATAGCAACCCAAACCATAGCAACCCAGCCCATAGCAACCCAGCCCATCGCGCCCAACCATAGCAGCCCAGCCTAGAGCAACCCAAACCACAGCAACCCAAACCAGAGCACCCATAGCAACCCAAACCTAAGCGACCCAAACCATAGAAACCGAACCGTAGCAAGCCAAAACCTCCCACTTCCACTTCCAAACCAAACCAGACCATAGCGAACCAGCCTATAGCCCTCCCACTCCCACTGCCAAGCCAACCCGACTCAAACCAAGCTGCAATTCAACCCCTCCCACTTCTCTCCACCCGCCATCCCTCGCTAGCTGCTGGTGCCTCTCTTGAGAAGGGTGAATGCCTGCGAAGCCGTTGCTTGCGCTGCCGTCGCCTGCATTCTGTTCGTCCATACCGCTTCTGTAGCAGCAGCCATTCATTTCATTGGCGTAGCCTTCTCACTCTCACATCGAGGGGAACAAGCGCATTACACTCCCATACAGCAATGACTCCCGCAGTATGTTATATGGACGGCCGTCGGCTAGAATATCGCATAGCACGGTGGTGGGTGTCGCTTCCGACGTGGACACTGCCACGTAGGACACTTGAGCGGATGCCGTGCACTCACCTCCTTCAGGAATACTCACCACAGCCATCTTATCTTGAAGACTCAGCTTCGTATCGCCTCTACTTATTCCCTTATCTTAGTTCCTCGCTCAAAATGGAACCTCATTTAGGTTTCACTCTGAAACTGTGTAGGAGGTCTCCTTTCACGGGTCAAATTTCGGAATCTAGCAATCGCTTGGCTCGGAGTCGCACATGGCGGCCGTAGATTACCCTCGAGTCGCGCGTTCCATCATCACCGTTCTTCACGACGCATTGCGCGCTCACGTTAGTACGACAGCGTGCCTCCTCTACTGCTCACCGACGACGGCTTTCCAGCCCATATCGAGGCAGGTTGTACCGAGGGGGCCTAATTATCCCTGCTACTTGGCGATAGATTCTGCGTCCCACGCGGCAGGGGTGGGCGGAACCAGCAGTGACTCGTCCCCGGCGGCTTCCGCGGCTAGTAACACGGCGGCTCTCAGGGCGGTTTTCACGGCCGCGCTGATACCTATCCCGGCGAACAAGCCGAACGGATGCACGTGGCCCGGCGTGACTTGCTGCACTGGCAACGGTGTTACGCTGCTAGACCTCTCGAAGAACAGCGCCCCCCACCCACGCACGCCTCGCCTTTGCAACCGTACTGCGCGCGAGCCCGGCGGAAAGTTTCCCGCGACCCTCTCCGATTCTATCGGCCAGTTAACGGGTCTCGCCTTTCTCGATCTGAGGGGTCTCTGGCTTGCTGGCTCTGTCCCGCGATCGTTCTCCCGGCTTACAAAGATCCAGTACTGTACCTCGTGATTAGCGATAACTGTTTCTCTGGTCCTCTTCCTCTCGCCTTTCTTCGCATGCGGATGATTAGTGATGTGTACGCCGCCAATAATTTCTTCACCGGCGGGGTTACCACAACATCCTGCTGCGTACGCGGCTCAGCCATCGGCTCTGGATCTCGGGAATAATAGGCTGTCCAGGCCGATCCCTGCTGCCCTCGCGACGCTGCCGGACATTTTGGATACGCGAATATTTCTGTCCCGGAATCGGCTAACCGGGAATATTCCCCGTGCTCTGCTCAAGAAGCCGTTTATTATTGATTTCAGTCGGAACCTGCTTTCGGGCGACCTGAGTGGGTATCAAATAATGTCCTCGTCCTTTCTCGTAAGCGGGAACAGGCTGACCGGCAACTTCAACTCGATCAGCTTCGGCAAAGACGTGTTGGGCATCGACGTTTCGCACAATTTGTTTTCAGGCACATTCCCGCGAATTGTGTGCCATCGGAGCAACCTAGCAACTAATTTTTCGGATAATCGACTGACAGGAGCCGTTCCAGCAGATTGTTTCAAGTCCAGAAGTTATTTTCCAAATGGCCTCTTCCTAAGCCACAACAAATTCTCGGGCAGCTTGCAGCCGTTTGCGAACCTGCCCACGGACATCACTGCTCTGGACCTCGGATTCAACAAGTTCACAGGGAGCATTCCCCCACGCCTCACCGTTTTACCCCGACTTAAATACTTGGACCTCGGGGCAAACGCTCTGACAGGTGAGCAGACTGGAAAAACGCTCATTGCTTCGTTCCGTTGAGCTTTCAGTTCACTCCTCGTATCCTCTCATATTAGTCTCTGCTTCCGCTGCCCCATCCCTCAGGCCCCATGAGTTAACTTCCTGCTTCCCCCCCTCTCCGCACCCCTCAGACACATCCCCGCCTTCTTTCTGCCATCCCACCTTCCTCAACCTCGCCTCCAACGCCCTCTCCGGCCCGCCCACCCCCCTGTCTCTCCCTCCTGATCCGTTTCTCTCCCGCTCTCTCCCGATCCTGCCCCTTGCTGCTAACACTTTTCTGCTCGGTTTGACTCTTCGTTCCTCCCTGCTCTATCCCTGTGCTTGCTCCTACCTCTCATCCCCCACCCCCTCAGGCCCCATCCCCACCTTCTGCCAAGCCCAGCAGCCCCTCACTTTCCTCAATCTCGCCTCCAACGCCCTCTCCGGCCCGCCCACCCCGCTCTCCTCCCCCTCCTGCTCCGCCTCCCTCGCCCTCCTCTACCTCTCCTCCAACCGCCTCTCCGGCACCATCCCCGCTACAATCAGCTCCTTTACCCGCCTCAAGCGCCTTCTCCTAGACAAGAACACCCTTGCAGGATCAATCCCAGCTGGCATGAGCAACCTGAAGCGATTACAGGGACTCGGGTTATCGTATAACAGCCTATCGGGGACAATTCCCTCGGTTTGGCCGGCAGGGGTACGGCAAGTGCTGCTGGCGGGGAATCGGCTGTCAGGGGCTGTTCCGGCTGCTCTGAGCAAGCTAAAGAGAGGCTCTTTTAAACCAGGGAACCCCAACCTGTGTGGGAAACCACTGCCTGCTTGTGCATAGAGAATATAACCATCCGTGCTTGTGCTTGTAATGCAATCAAATGCAGTCACCCCTGTTCAAATGGTCACATAGTGTAAGATAGTTCAAGAGAGGTCACAGGCCTCACCGCACGTGTTGCTTCTGCTGGTACCTTCCTGCCTGTGAGGCAGTGTGGCAGTGCTGCGAGGCTAGTTCAAAACATGGAATGACCTGCTTGTGCTTCAAATAAGAATTATCCGTGCTAGCTAGTGCTTGTAATGCAATCAAATGCAGTCAGTCACCCACCCCTGTTCGAATGGTCACTGTATGTGAGCAAGTTCAGTGTACGGTACGTCACAGGCGGCACGGCCTGTGCTACTGCTGCTGCTATCAGTACCTTCCTGACTGTGAGGCAGTGTGGCAGGTGCTACTGGCAGGGAACCCGGCTGCTGCCTCACAATTCCAGATGCCACTGCACGAAGTGAATTTGCATGAAATGCACGAAGATTCAGTGGAAACCGTCTGGATTGCCAGGTAGAATGCACAGAGGGGGAATGGAAAGTCCTTGGTCTATTGTTCTACTACAGTACGTTTGAGATCGTGTGTACACGTGGGCTGGATGGATTGGATCGGTCTCATTGTAACCGCCATATGCCAGGCACATTTCGGAAACGACTTTTCAGGCGCCTTGTAAGTTGGATCGGTCTCATTGTACCGCCATATGCCAGGGGATTTTCGGCAACAGTGGCTGCTTCTCCCGTCGTCACAAGCTTGATGCGGCGCTGCTGCTACGCTTTGTTGGGCTGGGTGGATCACACTCGCTGTGTTTTCTGAGGTGCCTCGAAAGTCTTCTGCTGTTGAGGCGCCTCAAAAGTCGTCTGCTGGTAAGCTGGGTTGGGCTGGGTCGCACTCTCTCTGCTTTCTGCTGTGCCGACGCCTGCCGACCTTTGAGGCAGCTCAAAAGCACTCGCTGCGTAACCTGCTGTGCCGTCACCTGCCACCTTCGCTGCGTACGTTGCTAATAGTGGCAGGCTTTCAGGGGAGCGAGAGGAGCGACGCGATGATGCATTAGTCGACAAAAATATGATACTTGCTGCGTTCTCTGCTGTGCCGTTGCCTGCTGCCGCAGCCGCTGTGTTCGTTGCTAGTAGAGGCAGGCTGCAAGGGAGTGAGGGGAATGAGGGGAAGAGAGAATGTTAAGCGGAGAAGGTGCGGGCAGAGTGAGACGGGATGAGTTGGCAGGCTGAGGGGAGTGAGAGGCAGGAGGGGCGGATAGAGGGGATTGAAGAGAGGATTGGGGATAGAGGGGATTGAAGGGATTGGGGATTTAGGGGATTGTGGGGGGACGAGAGATGCGATGGATGCAAGGTTGGTGCGAAGGGGAGGAGTCCGAGTCAGCCAGAGAGAGGTTCTTTTGACGCGCCTCACAAGCGGGGAGGAGGACTTACGAGTCAGGCAGAGAGAGGTTCCCTAGGTGACATTTGGGTCGACTCAGAAGTCACCCCGTGGTCGATTCAATGGGGGAGCAGTCATGATGAGTCAGGCAGAGAGGTTTCACTTTCCTGCAAGCAAGTCCGGAGCAAGTTACGGGAAAGTGATGAGTACCTTGCGATTGATGAGCAAGGAGCAGATACCAACATGAGTATAGACTTTTAAGTCGACTCAAAAGTTTTGAGTCGACTCAGAAGAGCAAGTACCAAGATGAAAATTTTCAGTCAAGAATCAAAGCCCCCCACCCACGAAGCCCAACCCACCCACCCACCCACCCACCCCACACCACACCACCCCCACCCACCAGCATGTGCCCTTCCACTTGGTCCCTTGGGCAATGACAGTAGCCTTGCATCCACATGCGTGCCTTGTTCATATTCACATACTCGATTGAAGCCTAGGAGGGGGGAGAAGGGGGAAAAGGGTGGGTGAGGGGTGGGGGTTGGGGTGGGGAGTGGATTGAGTGGAGGAAGCACGGCAGCTGGATCCAGTCGTTGTCACTCGCCTTGTTCATCTTCACGTGCTCCATCAAAGCCTAGGGAGGCGGAGGAGGAGAAAGAGGAAGGGGGAGGAGTGTGGTAGGGAGTGAGTGGGTTCAGCAGAAACAAACTGCAACTGAAAACCAGTTGTTGTCTTGTCCCGCGCCTTGTTCATCTTTCACGTACTCGATCAAAGCCAGGGAGGGGGGAGTGGGGAGAACGGGGGGAAGTGGGGGTGGGGGGGGGGGGGGGGGGAGGTTGTGTGGGTGTTTGGTCGAATGAAAACTAATGACAGCTGTAACCATCCAGTCGTTGTCCCGCGCCTTGTTCATGTTCACGTACTCGATTAAAGCCTGGGAGGGGGGAAGGAGGAGAAGGGGAAAGGGGTGGGGTGGGGAGGGGAGTGGGTCCAGAGGAGCCATTTAGTCGTTGCCCCGCGCCTTGCCCATTAGCGACTCCCCCCTGTGAGTCGACTCGAAAGTCGGCTCATTCCCCCTCCCCCCCCCCCCCCCCCTTGTGAATCGTCCTTATCACCCATATTAAACCGCGCCATCATGAGCCGGCGAGATGACTTTTGAGTCGACTCAAAAGTCATCTCGTGAACTGTCATTATAACCCATATTAAACCAGCGCCATCATGAACCGCCGGTTCCATTTGGTTCACCCGGGGCTCGTTCCGACCCACGTAAGCAAACACAACCACGTGGCATTGCCCTTACTACCGCACCTGTCCCCATTCAGTGTTTTATTTCACCCGCGACTTTTTGCTTCCACGTGGTCGCCTCGAGACTCGTTATGACGCATCTTCACCTAAATTGTCCCTCGTTCCGAGGCTCGTTCCGGGCTCGTTTCAACGCACTTGTAACTCCTCCTTGAGTCGCTGCTTCCATTGTTTCGCGACCCTGCATACGGTCAGAAGCGGGATATTCTGATCCGAACCGTGGATTAGGTCGTGTTATCCCAGCCGTCCATCGCGATCGTTCGATCTAAAGTCGGGGAATCAAGAAGCGAAAAAACTGACGGCATGAAGAAGAGAAGATGGTTGCTCAGGAAAAGCACTTTCTCGTTATTAACACACTATGCGCAAACATAACGAATCGTTACATCAACCAATGACTCTGGTTCACGCAAACTATTTGCTGCTTTTTCCTCTCCTGAATGTGTGACAGTATCCTGGGAGTGAACTCTCGTCTAGTAGCCTCCAGTGTCTGAGGAAGGACGAAGATCAGAATTTGGGATCGAGCTTGTCGGGTGCTGCTGCCTGCATCTCTATTTGGGCTGCATCTCTTATCGGGGGGATGCATCTCTAATCTGGCTGCCCATTGGCATCTGTATCGCTACTTCCTATTGCCTTACATAGAGTATATCGAGGCCATTTATAGGCGGTCCTCCGCGTTGCCTGAATAACATATTTGAGAGATTCGTCGCAGACAGCGAGTGGACAAGGCTTTCGTGCTGCAAGCATCGCAATAAATCGCGAACGCTTCCAGGTTTACGTAACCTAGTTACTTTGCCACCTCTGAGCCTGGCAGGTCAGTTGTTGGTCGCGCAAATCTTCCGCAAGGCCCAGACACTTGTTCAGACCCAAGTGCTCCAACCACTCGCTTTGCGTGTCCTCACCTCACCCAACCCAACCCAACTCAAACCAGCTCAACCACAGCAACTCAACCCATCTCACTTCAACTCACCCGCCGTCCCTCAGTATTGGTGCCCTCGCTTGTGGTGCCTCTTCTAAAGCGTTTTGAATGCCTGCCAATGCCAAGCCTGTATGTTGCTCGCGGTGCCGTCTCGTCCATTTGATTTGCCCATACTGCTGCTGTAGCTGCAGCCATTCATTTCATAGTTGTCACTCTGACGTCCTAACGACTCCACAATGACTGGCTCAGTGTTGACGGCAGCGAGAATATCTTATGGCACGTGTGGGTCATCATCCGACGTGGAAACTGCCATGACACTTATTGGGGGATGTCAAGCACTCACCTCCAGAACAACTTACCACCATCTTATCTCTTGAGAACTCAGTACGTATCGCCTCTATTCGTTCCCTTCTTGAGAGGTTCAAGTTTAGGTTTCTGCTGGAAACGCATTTCAGGTTTCACTCTGAGCTTTATAGGTTTTGGCTCTCACATGGCGGACGTAGATTACTACCCTCGAGTCGCGCGTTCCGAACGCGCTCACGTTAGTATGACAGCATGCCTCCACCTGCTACTCCTCTACTGCTCACCGACGATAGCTTTCCAGCCC